ATTCCCTTATCAGCCGGAATAACTTACGATGGTTACTATGTGTTAGTTTGAATGAAAACAAGAACATTGAAAAAATACATGGAAGCATTGCTGGATAAACAGTGGCGTTTACGTCCTGTTGGTTGCTTATTATCATCGCAGAGCTTTACTCGACGGTGTCCATCACTGTCCTTTGACTAATGAGAACAATCAAAATGTTGACATATCACAACCTATCCACTCTCCGCTTTGCAAAATGTTTGAAGAGTACTCACTTTGCGTCAGTGGTTATATCTACAATGTATTAGGATGCGCGTCCAACTCATGTTTTTGATTGCAGAGCTTCCTTGGCATCTGACGGAAAAGCATGCATCGTTATTTACTTGTTTTCCTGTCAACGATAGTCAAGCTTGGTGGGTTTGCAGCCTGTTAACCATGTGCTTTCTGGCTTGGAGGGTATGACAACAAGCTTCAAGTCAGCAGTTGTGCTATCTCGATGCAGATGTCGAACGTTTGATCTCGCGAGAGTGTACTGCCGTATGTTGACCGTCATGTATAGACGCTTCCTCCTCATCGTGTGCTAGCCAGATGTTTATCGCTAATTTCACCTTCGAGCTTTAGAGCCACTTAATCCAGAATGTTCACCTAAGCCAACGGGTATTTCCTTTTTCTTACTGATTTTCACTGATAAGGCCGTTGTTGTTACGTAGCATCTGAGCTTCGAGTCGTCAACGTGTTCTTGCTGAGCTCCTGCTTATTGTGAACCCATGAAACTCGTTCTTATCTTAACACATGGATTTATAACCTGTTGCAGTTGTCTTCTTTGGCTAGTTTTTCATCAGAGCATGTCGCCATCTGTCCATCCTTCATTGAAGCTGTTATCCAATTCTCGACCTTTGACGCATGTAGTGCGCGTATCTCTTTACTTGCCGCCCATGGTGAATTAGTGGGTCACGGATTTTCGCAAACCATCACACCACTTCGATGGTCCTCTACTGTTAAAACCTGTTGCGCGAGACAGAAGTTAACCACTGATCTATACAGCTCCATTAACACACAAACTGTCTATAAAGGTGAGAAATCTGTTCACTGATTTACTGTCGCCTGACTTAAGCCGGCTAATACCTAGAAAGCAAAGTTGTCGAACCTGTTGTCTGTTCGTCCGTTGGCACAGCCTATTAGCTCTCTCTCTCTCTCTGTGTGTATCGAGAGCACTGCAATCTACACAGGGTTGTTTGAACCCTGGTGGAACTTTCAATTGAGTGAAGCTAATGTTTTTCGGTTGGTTTCCAGGAACCTACTCTCTGGTGCCTCTCTGGGCCTACTATTGATCTTGATTCTGGATGCCAACCTCATTCTGTCTGCGTAGGATACTCTTAAGGAAGCTCCTAACTTAAACTCGCAATCTGCAGTTCAACAATATCATGACGAACTCGCCCACCAACTGAGTGTTGCATGCGGTTGGTGAGCAGAGTGCTGACTGGATTGGTCTCATGGGCCATGAAGTGTCTTTGACGCTCGCAACGCACCCAACTTGTGAGGTAACTGCGGATGAATCTCTGAGGCATTGATCATCTCGATCGAAGCACTGAAACAGGTTCTGATAGACACTAAGTTTTAGCGTGTTCGTAGCACCACGAAACGACGTCTGACAAGGAATCGACCGGGAACATTGGTGGGTGACAAACATCCGTACAATGGAGAAAGCCAGTGATTTTGAGAATAGCCGAATGCTATTGTAGCTAATCCGAAACACGGATCCACGATAGTCATCACTTCGCTGCGAAAGACTGTTGATCCATTTTCATCCTCGTCTACTAGTCCGTCAGGTGGAATATTTTGAAGCGCATTTCAGCAGGCCTTCTGATACACTGCAGCTTGCCGAATTGCCTTAGCCGACTTTGGAAGCGATTTGACCTAAGCTTTCCGTGTTGAGATGAAAGAAGGCTCCTGGGCCCAACGACCTTCATCTTTGCTGAAAGGTGGTAGTGACCTTTTGTTGTCTGAACTCGCTACTCTATTTAACACGATTTGGAACGGTGTGGAGGTGCCTACAGACTGGCGACTGTCAGCTTTCGTGCCCATCTTCAAGAAGGCTCACCGTACTTTGTGCGAAAATCGTCTAGGCATTATCCTTGTTTCTGTTGCCTCCGAACTTCTCGCGGGTAACATTCTTAGACGACTCATTGGTCGTGGTTGTATTGACCGGGGGCCGAGTGGTCTGCACGCCTGGCTTGCAATCTTAAGGTCACCGGTTCGAATCCGCGTAGGGGCGGGCGTTCTCGCGGTATACTCAGCTCACGCGCGACCGGTGGTGGTCGCGTGTCAGCGACGCTCCGTTACGGCGTGCAGCTGACACATTATTCATTTTATTATTATTAGTGCGGAGACGCACATACAGGCAACCGACTTTGGGGTTTTTTTCTTGACTTAAATGCGCCAGCTCGTTGCATTGCATATCCATCTTCCAACACTAATAATTCTACCCATGCAAGGCGCATTGCCATTGGTTCCCTGGCGATAAAAAAGTGCTTTACTCGAAAATCAGGTGATGGTACGGGCTAGGGTGGCTTGGCTGTCCACACTATAAACACAAAAAGAAGTCCTAAGTAATGGCCTACATGCTTTAAAAGCCATACCGGCACACGGCCAGATGGGGCATGGAATTGTGAATTAAATCCATCGACAGAATAACCCGCATGGAAGCAGGTCCACAGGGGGCGGTCCCAGTACTGGCCGTATTACTTCACTTATATGTTTTATTTATCTGCGCTTGTTATTTTTTAAAATCTCATAATCCCCTCGAAATATTTAACCGACCAATTAGCTATTTCCGCGAAAAAGCTTGAGGACTGTTTTGAAAAATTCGATAAGTATAACATCTGCTCCTTGCGATTTTGCCCTACACCAAAAATCGTAAATCCGGTTGGACCGTACCTTGCACCAGCGAGAGATATACCCTTGTTTTTTATTCACACAATTAATATTGCCCATGCAAGAGCATGATCCTACCAGTACATATTTGATCTGTGCCAAATATGGACGCAGCTTCTCATTTAAAGAGAAATATTCCCATTATTATTACTATTATTATTATTATTATCATGAAGGTTGTGGTTGTTAAACTCCTTTTCATTATACAGTCTCTCTACCGTGATTCCCGAGGCCGTGTAATGGTCTACGGTAAACTATCCCTTGAGTTTCCCACAATAAGTGGGATTCGCTAGGGTTGTCCTATGTATCCTTTCCTCTTCAACTTTATTGCTGAAATGATCATGAGTGACTGTTCTTTCAAACTCCATCGGAGTGGAAGTTCCGCCAGGTAACCGACTGACAAAACTGGAGTATGCGGACGACAGCTCTTAGGTCTGATGCAGTGACTGCAAACACAACTGGATAGACGAACGCGTAGCGCTGCACGCTTTGGCATGTGCTTCGCACCTACCAAATGCAAAGTACTGCTGCAGCACTGAATCGACACACCTGTTTTAGCTATCACTGGACAGCCACTAGAAGTGGTGAATCAGTTCACTTACCTTAGTAGGAGTGTCGCCTCTGGTGATCACATCTATGGAGACGGCGAGATATCAAACTGTCAATGAAAGATAGGGTGTATAACGTTGCGATGAGATCGGTTTTACTGTACGGCACAGAGACCTGACCAATTCGCAACGAAGACATTAAACGCTTGACCTTGTTTCACCACCGGTGCTTACTCACGTCTCATGTCCGTCAGTTAGTTTTTGGCAAGAAGCCTTCTGATTCCCCACTCGAGTGTTTGTTGGCTAGAACATGTCCTTCGTATGCCCATTGACGGGCTTCCTCGTCATGCATTATGCGCCATGGCTGCACCGAGTTTGTTGAAAAAGCGAGGTGGCCGGTCGATAACGTGGCATAGAGGCATGAACAAATTGACTGAGAAACTTGCTTAGGCTGATGCGTGCCGTCTTCTTGGATGTGGACCTCGGGATGGTCCACACCAATGGTTGGATACCGTATCAGACATAGCACAGTTACGCAGTTATTGGCGTCCCTGCATTCGACTTTTGCATCTGGTTTTAAATTTTTGTTTCATTCTGATTAGTTTAACACACTTTCTTCTTGATTCCATTTTCTTCACATTCTATTTGTCTTTAACCACACTATCTTACCGTTGTTACTAACTGTTATTCTTGCCATGTGATTCGTCACAACTTGATCCACTGCACTTCTGTGCTCGGATCATAGTTGGTTAACCCCATAGCTACTCGCATCGCTTCACTCGATATTGTATCGTTGCTGCACTGTCGTATGAACTTGCTTTTCATTTATCGACTGTCTTATCTGCCCGCATTAGAGATCATCACAAGACGTAAAACTATCAGCTTTGTACTCTAACCTGCTACCTTAACACTCATTCAAGCACTCAACACTACATATCCTCAGGTAGCAGCACCACAAAGCAGAGAGATATTAAGGTCTTGCACCAGCCATCCGCATCTCACTAGCTGCTGCTTTATTCAGCACACCCCACAATAATTTGCCGTCCCGATCTTTGTTTCACTAGTACGCTCGCCAGGACCACTGTCTAGCCACATGCTCGGATTATCACCTTCCTTTTTCTTTGATTGGATAACCTATTGCTGCTACTTAATATCTCCATACTCGAGGTATCGTTACTACTTTTACTCTTCTGTTCAATACAGCAAATGCCACTCTGTTTGTCCTGATGCAGGATTCGTCGGCCCGTAGCCTAGAGGTAACTTGCTTATCTAATTTTGCGGCGCGGATTCAAATCCGCGTAGGAGTAAGCCTCCTCGCGGTATACTCAGCCCGAGTGTGACTGGTGGTGTTCGCACGGCAGCGAAACGCTGTTACGGCGTACAGCTGACACATTATTATTATTATACAAGATTCCTGGAACCTCAGGCTTTTTGTTTTGTATGTTTCAACGGTTATTTGTTATCAAAGTGTTTACCAACTGCTGTCACTATGATCAAACTGCCTCAATTTCCGTTGCCTCTTTCACTTTTAACGAACAGACGCAGAGAACATAGTCTCTCCGATTTGAGGGAGACATTAATCGATGGCGCTGTCCCGGATGTTCCCATACAATACTTGAACAGGCGAAAGATGGTTGAAAATCTTGCCACTGCCTTGCGTGCACTTGCCCGACGATTTCGTGTGAATGAGCTCAACGAAGTGACCAACAAGATGCCCGATCTGAATTTGGGATTCGGCGGGGATGTGCCTATTAATGGCACACATCCGACCTTCAATTTAACCACCTCATCCTCGCCTAATTGGCATCCACCCCCAACCAATGCATGGCTCCTAATTCACGGAATGGCTGGCTGCGGCAAAACGGTGCTTTGCACGAGCGTTTTACGGCAGCACCCCGCTCTGTTGGCTGAAGAATTCCCCGGTGGTGAGTTCTGTTGTTCCGTTGCCGCCACATACGGGCTTGAAGTGTGTCGTCGCTTACCCATCTAAATGACTCCATACTCTACTGGACCGTCCTAGGTCATGTCGGCTACTAGTCATCTAAGTTTCTAGCTAATTTTACTTTCTGCCGACCACAACTTCGATGTGCGTTTTGTTCTGTGGTAAACATTACCATCTTACTTTTCCCCACTGTGTTCCACTTTACTACAATTGTTCCCTATGGTCTTCCATCAAATGTTTGGTTTGCTCTAGTAGCGGAGAAATCAAATCATTCCCTGGCATAGTGTTATTTAATGGCTGAATTGTACCGGTTCCGTTTTACCGTTGCCTCCACCACCACCACCACCACCGCCAATAATAATAATAATAATAATAATAATAATAAGGACGGACAATAGTAATTTTGTGATTGTCAAAAAACCTTTCCACTGGACATTGTAATACCGCTTGTCTGTAACCCTCCAACTCGACGTCTGGGTTATGGGACTTAGTCGGTGAGGAAGGTGCGTCCTTTGGAGCGCAGTGGGTTGTTTTGGCCCATTCAACTCACCTGTTCCTGGGAGTGAAGTACGACTGAAAGACTAACAGTTAGCTTACTTTCAGTGATTGAACAACATTGTTTACAGGAACAAACCACTTTTTCTTTTCTGATTCAATTTAATGATTATCTATAATTCATTGGGTTGCACCTGTTTGTAAGGATTACCACTCCGAAACCTTTGTTGTAAAATTTCCCACCTCTTCAAGTCAGCTCCTGGCTCTAATTACGATTTATGAGAAACCCTTGCCGAGGTTCACAACACAAACTTATCTCCTCCGGGTTATGGCGCCTGTTTCATTATGTCAAGCTTTACAGTCGGAATGAATAGCTTTACCGTGATGTAATCTGAACTAGAGACTCCAGTTAATGACTGATGTTAGACGCGTGAGACAGCTTACTGATCCATTTGATTCCGATCCAACTATGGTGCAAGTACTGCTTAACAGGCCGGCGTGGTAGCCTGTATACTATAACCATTGTTTTACAGTCTTAATCTGATGGGCGCTGTTGTACGCCTTGATAGATATAACGTTTCTCACTGCCACCAAGTGACCATTTTACCTGATCAATCGCTTAACAAACAACTGTTTGAGCTCTGTTGACTACAACACTGCAGAATTTGCGCCTGCATCGATTTGCCACCCACGAAAGTCCCCGGTAACAGAACATCAACCGTGTACCCTACCGACGCTCCGTTGCTACATCATCATCCTCATCATCAACACACGTCAACTGAGGGTGAGAGACACATCTCAGCCAATTTGCCGCAATACTGAAAAGATAAGAGATTAAACATTACAGACTATAAAAACTATACAAAAGTAACAATGCTAAATTTCACATTATGTTAGAGTTTGAGATCACTGGATCGGAAGCTAAAGCGGAGAGGTGGGAAAAAGTGGCTCACAACACTGAGGCCGGCTCTTCGTTATGTTATCTAGTGTATCCAACCAAACGTGTTCATCGTCCTTCGGTCTCCAGTCCGGCAGTCTAGAAACGCCAAACGACTCCAGTTTCGCTGTGATGGACTTCATTCCTATGGTCTAACTTATCGCTTGGCCAACCTTCCTCTTCTTCCATCCACATCCCCGGCGAGCAAACTACGTACGACGCGGGAGTCGGTGTGCCGGCATGCGCAACACGTGGCCTAGCCATCGAGTCTGCTGCTTGATATAACGGTCCTGAGCGGTCCACTTGCTCTTCCTACACCAAATACGCGGCGTCGAACACGGTCATTGCTCACGCGGTGTTTCCACCAGACGTGAGCTAAACTGCGAAGACAGCGATAGTCCAACATAACAAACCTCTTCAAGTCTGTCGAATGGATGGGCCAGGTTTCGCAACCATACAGTAAGGTTGAACGGACGGTTTCCTTGTAAACTCTGCCCTTCAGGGCGAGAGTAATGTCACCTCCGCACCCTAGGTGGCGCATATTGTCACAAGCACTGGAGCTTTTGCTATGCGGTTTGTGATCTCATCCTCCATTCCAATGGCGCTGATATAACGGCCTGGATACTTGAATTTTCGGATGATTTCCAGCTGATCACCACCAAGAGTCAGCACAGGGCTGGATTCATGCCAATTTTGAAGAAGGGCTTATCATTTCGAGGGTGTAAAGCATAGCTCAAGACGACTGACATTTACTACTGATTTGTCCAGTATCATAGATCGTGTCCAGTGAACCCAGTCTCCATAACTTCGTCAATGTCGAAGTTAAAGAGAGAAGATGACAATGAGCAACCCTGTTTCATACCGCTGCAGATATTGCTGGGCAGCGACAAATTGCCATAAACCCTCACTCTGCCCGAGCTATATGCGTACAGCGCTCCTCTGACATTGGTATTTTTCACGGGCACACCATTCATCAGTAGACGGTCCCAAATGACACTGATCAACAGAATCAAAGGACACTTTGGTGTCTGGTAATATAACTACGGCGGGTTGCCAATAAACACGATGGTGCTTCAACAACTGACATAAACTGAAGATGTGGTCACTGCAACCTCGATTTCGACGAAACCCGGCTTGCTCCTCGCGCATCTTGCTTTCACTGTCGCTTGTACTTACGGAAATTCGAATCGATGACCTTCGGATTACGGGGCAGACGCCTTGCATCAGTCTACGACGGGTTATAAAAAGTCATAATTACCTCGTCGCCATCTCACGGCGACCATTGATCTCGCTCATTTCAGTCGTTTGCGTCACCACAACCATGCTGGTTGGTATCGCGTCCGAGCGATTCGAGGAGCCGTTACAACTGCCTAACCTTGACAGATAGCGGTAACACAGCGAGCCATTTTCGCCACCCCTTGTTATGCTCTACGTAGTGTTTGCACTGTCTGACAGGTAAAAGAGCAAATCAGGACAAACGATGAGTGCTCCAAAGAACAGAAATCAACTTTTAACCGCTGCGTCAAGCACTGCTCCCGGAGATCAATTTCCTAGTGATCACGGTGGAAGCCGCCAAGCACTATGCGCCAACTCCCACTCCCTGCTCATCTGTCTCTCGCTGATGACTTCAAATCAGGGCGAAACCGTCGGTCGTGGTATGCAGCGACGGGAGAGAGCCACTCCCCTCCCTCCACTCCGGTGACGTTCCCAGTGATCCTATTGACAGTCTGACTTCATAGTCAACCGAGGCCATAAATATCGCAATCCAAGACACGGCGGGTGCCCCAAAACCCGAAAATTAAAGTGAATCAACTGTTTGCGTCTCTCAGCCATCACCTCATCTTCTGTCTGTCCGCTTTCCTGACCTTCACTATTCCACATTTCATGTATAACGTTTGGCTGAAATAATAACAGTAAATACTAATAATGCCACATAATTTTGTAAGATGGATGAAAGCCGATCGATAACTCATGAGTTCAGCGAGGTTTGGAAACAGTCGATTGGTATATTTGTTTCCAAACTTCTTTGAACTAATTATAAATAATAGTAAGACGGAACAAGTGTGTGGTCTACTGCTGCGGCGCAGCTGTTCCTACCTCATTGATAAGCTGGCAACGAAGGGCGTGAATCTTTCATCACCGGCGTGTCTATCTCACCGCAACAGTTTGGGTCGGATTTCTCAACACTTGGATAGTCTGAGCTAGTCCTACTTATTCGTTGCTTCAATTATCTCCACGTTTTTCCTCAGTAATCCGGCGATTTCTTATAAGTAGGTAACATAACATTTGTGATACATGGAATAGGTGCGCACTGACTTAAGCATGCTTCCGATAGATGCAATTTGCGCGTTCGTGTTACGACTGAAGTCTATATCGTAGCTATCGATTCACAAGTTGAATCTTATTGACACTTGGTTAAGCAAAAGTGCGGTGATTTATGGGAGCCTTTCCTCGGCTTTTCCCTCTAATTTCCATGTCTCATTGGGCTGCTTGCGTCTGGCCGACCAGTCGGAGTCTCGCTGTCACCGTGATTTTCCTATCTTAAAGGTTCCGTGAGGCTACTTGTCTTGCTATTCTGACCAACATAATGCATACAAATACCGGTCGGCCGGTGGCCGAGTGGTCTGCACGTTTGCTTTGCAACCATAAGGTCACCGGTTCGATTCCGCGTAGGGGTGGGCGTTCTCGCGGTATACTCAGCCCGCGCGCGACTGGTGGTGGTCGCGCGGCAGCGAAGCGCCGTTACGGCGTACAGCTGACATATTATTATTATTATTACACTGCACGCATCATTGCTTACATAGTGCTTAGGGGCGTGTCTCACCCACTCACTGAATAGTTCTTTCATATTATGATATCCTTCTTTGTCGCTGCGGTTCGTCCTCCGTGATCCTCACATCGAAATACGACAGATCCAGTTAGCCAAATTCACTTTCCCAAAAAATACTAGTCTCGTGATGAAAACATTACTTGATTTTACAACTCCAAAACCATCCGGTGGAGTAGTTTGTAGGCAAGAATATAGGTGCAGATGCATAAGCCCACTGACTTCTCGATGACATCAAGTTTGATAGGGCCAACTATCGGCTCATGACGGTGACCCAAAAGACCCCATCAAGGAAGATACCTACTATCAACCCAATATGATCTCTCCGAATATTTCTCTCTGTCCTCCCCTGACTCACCAGCTGGCCCTCTCGGTGTTTCGCCCAGCTTGATGTATTATTAATCATCGTTTCGCATATGGTTGGCGACATGCGGTTCCGGATTTGCCTGTCACTCCGGCCTCCACGGGGACAGCCACAGGACGCCAGCGCCTACAAAGGGACCATGGTTGGCTTGCGCTGCACCATGCACAGCTCCATCTACACACCCCATATCCGGTGTTAACCCGAAGGAATAAGACCGGTGGCCGAGTGATATGCGCGTCTAGATGCAACCATAAGGTTACCGGTTCGAATCCGCGTAGGGTTGGGCGTCCTCGCGGTATACTCAGCTCGCGCACGACTGGTGGTGGTCGCGCGGCAGCGAAGCGCCGTTACGGCATACAG